AGTATGGCTGTATCAATATTTTCTTGATGTGTCTTTTTTTTTTTTTTGGTGGTTCTAGGAATTGAACCCAGGGCCTTGCATATTAGGCAGGCACTCTACTATTGAGCTACATTCCAGATGATTTTATTTTTCTAGTCAATTTTTGTTTCCCCTTTCTTTTTGTTTTGAGACAAGGTCTCACTGTGTAGTTCATCCTGGCCTTGGCCTCCAACTTGTGGCAGTCCTCCTGCCTCAGCCTCTCAGTGCTAGGATTATATGCTTTTTCTTTCAGAAGTTTTGTTTTGTTTGTTTTATCTTTCTTTTGCATTAAACAATTATGCTGAGTGTGTATATATATATATATATATATATACACACATATACACACACATATATATATATATATATACACACATATACACATATACACATTGCATAAGTATGTAGTGTACATATCCATATACATCTGTGTGTGTATAAGTGCTTTTTATTTAGAACATATTCCTAAGAGTGGAATTTTGTTTGTTTTTGTGTACCAGGGATGGAACTCAGGAATTTGTGCTTACAAGATAGGCATGGCCCCACAGCTAAATCCCCAACCCTAGAAGTAGAATTCTTGCTGATTTAAAGGCATTTTGTACTTAAAAATCTTTAGAGAATAGCGGGGCACAGTGGTGCACCCCTGTGGTTTCATCTATTATGGAGGCTGAGTCAGGAGGATCACAAGTTTAATGCCAGTCAGGGTAGTATTGTGATTAATGAGATACTGTCTCAAAATAAAAAACAAAAGGAGCTAGAGGTATAACTCAGTGGTAGAGCACCTGCTTGTCTAGTGTGCATGAAGCCCTGAGTTGAATCCCCAGTACTTGGACAGGCTTCCAAATCATCTTCTTAAATGTTAAGATCATTTTTTGTTTGTTTTTTTGTTTTCTTTTGAGACAGGGTCTCACTATGTAGTTGAGACTGACCCAGAACTCACTATGTAGCCCAGGCTGGTCTTGAACTCACAGCGATCCTCCTGGCACAGCCTCCCAAGTGCTGGGATTATAGGCATGTGCCACCACGCCTGGCTCTTAGGATCTTTCTGATGAATATGTGAAGATGGTTTTGGAAAGTGCAAGGTCCTGAGTTCAGTCCCTGGTTCCCAGGGAAAAATAAAAGGTTGTGGAGTAGAATTGGCAGTGGAAAGACAGGTTTGGAGACTACTTCAAGTCATCCCACAGAAAATGATATGCTCCAGTCTAGAATAAGTGGAGAATGGTGACTGGTAGACTGATCCCCCGGGGAGTAAGTACAAGGGGGAAAAGAAGTCCATATGAGTAATAAAAGAGAAGGAGTCAAGGATGACAGGTGCATCAGTGACATCATTTAGTTACCTTGTGAGATAAAGCCTACTTGCCATAGCAGGACCAGATGACCTCATAGGTACTCTGTAGCGCTGACATTTTACAATTTTAGAATTTACAACAGCATCCTTATTTGTAGATTGAATAATGTTCATCTTGAATACTAATTATAAGGATACCATTGGGGGGTCGTTTTTTTGGTTTTTTTGAGACAGGGTCTCACTATGTAGTTCAGATTGCCTTGCAACTCACTGTATAGCCCAGGCTGATATCAAACTCACCGCAATCCTCCTGCTTCAGCCTCCCGAGTGCTGGGATTACTTGCATATGCCACCATGCCCAGCTATAAGGATACCATTTGATTGACATTTGTAGAGTAAACATTGAGACAGTTGGTCTGTTATTAAACTGTTTACATTTTTTCTCATCTTGAATCTGTTATCTTCTTGTTCCTAAGCCACTTAACTAACCTAAATCAGTAACTGTCTCCACTATCCAGTGAACTTTAGAAAGTCTCCTCTGCCAAGAGGAAAGGAAGAAGGGTAGTGATACAGGAAAAATTTTACTCCCAACCTGTTAGATATCAAATGTTCTGAGTTCATGGTCTCACAACTTCAAGGAATGAAGTCATGAACCAAAGGAAGAAGATAAGGAAAATTTATAGGCAATAGGGAGAAGAATAGCTCATGATTTTCCAGGAGTGGTCCTAAGTGAGTGGCCACCAACACTCTTTGTCAGGCATAATTTATACGCAAAATCATAATGGGGTACCATGTGGGTCAAACAACAGTCAACCTGTAGAGTTGGAAGTGTAGTTGCTTAGCTAATATTGATCCAGTAGAGAAACAAGTCATGTAGGAAGGGGATCTGGAAAGATCAAAGGAGTTCTTGGAAAGGGATGGGAGTATGAGTCCATCTATTTTGGTCACCCACCTATGTATCTGATGCCCACTGAACCAGGGCTTGCTAATCACAGTATAATCTGAAGTTAATTCCTATTGCATTTTTTTGAGCAGTAATCAATATAAGGCTGATCTTATTTTCAAGGAAATATGGTGTGTAAATTATATAGTCAGAGGTCCTAATGGGATCAGAGTCTTTCTGTAAGCAGATAGTGGGAAAATGAATATAAAATGCTGGACAAATGCCAGGTGTGATGTGAACACCTGTAATCCCAGCACTGGGGAGGTGAGGTAGGAAGATTGCTGAAAGTTTGAGGCCAGCCTGAACTCCAGAGCAAGACTGATTCCAAAAGTAAATAAAAAAATAAAGTAAAATAAAATGTGGACAGACAAGAGATAAGACTCAGTGAGTTAGGCCTTGTTATTACCACATATTCGCATGTAGCAGTGGAAACTACAAATGCACTATTTATTTTTAGCTTTGATGACTATATATCTTCATTTAATCATGCTGTTCTACAGAAAGAAAAAAAGTGAAGAAAATATATAATCCTTTCCCCTTCTGATCTGCAGAGAAAGCAAAATGAATTTGTTTGTGTGAAATGATGGATTTTTTTTTCTTTTTAAAAATTGTGAGAGCCAGGTGTGGTGGCGCACACCTGTAATCCCAGCACTCAGGAAGCTGAGGCAGGAGGATTGCTGTGAGTTTGAGACCAGCCTGAGTAGTGAGACCCTGTCTCAAAAAAAAAAAAAAAAAAAAAAAAGAAAGAAAGAAAAAAATTGTGAGACAGTCACGAGCCTCTTAGTACATTGTTTGGTTCTTATCCCCAATTGTATTGCTGAATACTTTCTTGGGTCTTTTCCTGGCTGGTTGAATGGTCCTTCCTTCAAGAGTATTTTCTCTATCACTTTTGTTTCCAGTCATCCCGGAGATTTACACTCCTCCCAAAACTTTCCTGTCTTTAGCACCTTTCTTTAGGCAGCTGTTTCATCTGTGCAGAGATACTCTTATCACCCCTAGCCTGTGGGGGGCCTGGCATGCTGGGGCTTACTGAAGGCAGCCCTTCCTGGAAAGCCCTTCATTGCTTTTATCCTTTTTAGGGGCTTGCCCTGACATCTGCTTCATATTTCACTTTTGACATTTACAGTATTAGGCTGTGTATATGAAGCCCTCTTTAATACTCTGCTGTCCTCTGTCTCTCTATATAGCCAATGCTGCCAACGTGCTCTCTGCCCAGCTTTGCATGTGTTTTGCTATTAGTGAGCCATTTCAGTGCATTCTAGGCCTTTTCAATAGCTGTGGAATCTTGTGACCTCTTGAATTTTGATTTGTCGCTGTTGGTTATTTTTGATTCTTCAGTTTTATCCCATTTCCTGTGACATTTGTAAGGAAGATTCTGTTATCTTGTTCATCACATTTGAATTTAAAATGAGAGACCTGGGACTGGAATTTAGCTCAGTGGCGCCATGCCTGTACCTGCCTGGCAAGCGCAAGGTCCTGACTTCAATCCCCCCACCCGCAAAAAAGAGAGATCTTCAAAATGCTCTCAATTTTCCCAGCGTGTCTGTCTCTCTGTCTCTGTCTCTCCTTTTTTCTCTTTCTCTCTCATTACTGGAGATTGAACCCAGGGCCTTCACACTAAAGTACATCCCAGTCCTATTTTTTAGGCAAGCAAGTTACTAAATTGTCTAGACTGGGCTTGAATTTGCAATCCTTCTGTCTCAGCTTCCCAGAGTACTGAGATTACAGGTGTGCACCACACCCAGGCAGTATGTTCTTAATGTTATTTACCACATAGAATTGTCCACTTATACAAAGAACCATGTTTTACTTTTCAGAGTGTGTCAGTATTTTGGAGTTTGTTCTATTAAAGATGGTAAATTTTAGTTTCCACTGAGATAGCACTCAATGTTTTTGAGATAAATTTTTCAGATCAGGTAACCTGTTAAGTCTTCTGAATCCCTATAATATTTGTTTATAATAGAAAAAAAAGAGCATGTTGGGCATTGTTTCTTGCTGGAGGGTTTCCCCATGGTTGTTATACTAGTTGCCTGCTTTGTCTGGTGCACATGTACTAATTAGAAATTACATAGCATGAGGGGCCTGAGATTTAGCTCAGTGGCACCACACCTGCCTTGTAAATGTGAGGTCCCGAGGTCAATCCCTGGTACCAAAAAAATAGAAATTACATAGCCTAAGTTTATCAGGCAGCATTTTTTTTTTTTACTCCTTTCGTTTACCTTCACTAATTCATTCAAGCTTTTGAGGTCTGTTTCTTTTTTTGTACTAGGGATCGAATTTAGGTGGACCTTGCGCTTGCAGGGCAGGTGCAGTGCCACTGAGCTAAATCCCTGGCCCCTATTTTCTGGTAATGGGGATCAAACTCAGGACCTTGCCCTTTCGAGGCAGGTAGTGGAACCACTGAGCTAAATTCCCAACTCCTGTAGTTTCATTTTTTAATTATATTTTTCCACTATAGTGTCAGCATCTTTTAATACTTTTGAACTCATTTCACAGTAACAGGAAATACTTTAGAAATTTAAAAAATTATTTATACATGATAAATTACTTTAAACTTTTAATAGTAACCATATTTTATTTTGTTGTGGTGCTGGAGATGGTATTCAGGGCTTTGTGAGTGCTTGGCAAGTATTCTTTTTTTTTGGCTTTTTGAGACAGGATCTCACTATGTAGTTGAGACTGACCTGGAACTCGCTATATAGCCCAGGCTGGTCTCGAACTCACAACGATCCTCCTGCCTCAGCCTCCTGAGTGCTGGGATTACAGGTGTGTGCTACCATGCCCTGGCCCAGTTGGCAAGTATTCTACTGAGCTACAGCTGCAGTCCTAACAGTGGTTTTAAGTGGCTCACCATTTTAAAATTTTAGGTCAATATATTGTAATTTCTAAATTATTATTATAAGTTAAAGAAGCATGCAGATGAAAAAGTATTGGGGGGAGAGAGTTAATGGGAATTGAAAATGATCAAGATGTTATGTATTTATATGCGGCATTACATATTTTTATGTATATGCCAGCCCTCCAATAAATATAATTAGTATATATTGCAAACATATATACCAATAAAAAGGTTTATATTTGTTTATTTTTAAGCAATACCAGGGATTGACATTGCATATACTAGGCAAGTGCTGTACCCTTAGCTATATGACTTGAGCCCTTTTTAATTTTTTTTTTTTTCAATCAGTGTTACACTGAGTTACCAATACCTGTTTTGAATTCAAGATCCTCCTTGCATCAGATTCCAGGTGTGTGCCCACATTATCTGGCCAGTGATGACTGTTTTGTTATGCTGTTAATGTAGTGGCATATGATAAGTTAGGAAATGAGTTTTTCTTTTAGCCATGTTTTGTGGTTTTCAGTGTATAAGTCTTTCATCTTCTTTGTTAAGTCTTTCTTCCTTTTTAAGGTAAACCGTCCAAACAGTTTTTATTAATTAATATTCATAAATACACACAGCAGCTTCATTAGAGATTTCAATATTCCTTTTCAGTTTGAATGTGGAGTATTAGGAGAGCCTTTTGCATATCAAGGTACAGGAAGCAGAGGTCATCCCTGCACTGCTACTTACATTTATCTGCTAGAAGTAAAAATTGTCCACTTTCATTGGCAAATACAGCACAGAGGACATTGTCTGTGAAATGGGATATCATCAAAGAGGAGGTGGTGGAGGCTCATTTCTTTTTTTACTCTTTTTAAATTTAGGTTTTCTAAAGCAACAACTAAAGGCATAATATCTACACAGCCCGTAGCACCACAATCTGCCATTTCTTCCCCTTCCTCCTTGCCTGAGCACGAGCTCTCCCTGGCCCTGATGTCCTTACTTGTTACAAGTCTCTTCAGATTTTCTTCTTGAGTCAGTTTTAGTTTTTGTGTTTCTAGGAATTACTCTAAGATGTCATATCAAAGGCCTCCTAGGTTTCAGGCCAAATGTAAATGAAGAGTTGCAGACTTTCTGATTGGTCTCGTTATAGCGTTGTAGAGTCATTATGTTCTACACATGTATCCTGGGTTCCCCAAACTGACAGGTCACACCCACTTGCTTAACCAGTTTTTCCCCCTCATCTACCTCACTACTATAATGGCAGTGGGAGGAAAGTAAAAATCTAGGTCATTTTTGGAATATTTAGATGTGATTTTGGATAGACAGATACATTTTGTCTCACCCAATTGTACACATGCCCAAGTATCCCATATCCTTGCTAGGGAAAGATCTGTAATACAAGTGGAGGACAACTAATATATGTAAGGGATAAATCTTTCAAGACTCGAGACTACCTCCTGGCATTGGCCATGTCTTCCTCAGCAAAGGGGTTGCCAGACTGTGGTTGATCTGCAACTCTGGGCTGATGATAAGGTAGAGGGACAAGATGGTCCCTCCCATTTTTGCATGACTATAGACTGGTTTTTCTCTCCCAGATAAGTGCAGTATTAGACGTAGTAGTTCATGCCTATAATCCTAGCATTCTGGAGGCTGAGGCAGGAGGGTCAGCATGGTGGAGGCCAGCTTGGGCTATATAGTGAGTTTAAGGCCAGCTACATAGTGAGACCCTGCCTCAAAAACAAAACAACAACAAGAAAAGAGCAGTACACACTCTTACTAGAAGGTCTCCTGAGACTCAACCCAGCCATGGAGGGGCTTCTGAGGCAAGGACTACTTCTAGTATTCCTGTCTCTGCAACACCACATTCATTCTTCTCTTGTCCACGAGAATGCAGGTGTGGCCTGGGAATGGAATTCAAAACTTGGGTCCTCTCACTCAAGTCTTAGCTTGCTTTTGTAAACAAGTGGATTCAATAGCAAAGGAATGACCACTCTACCTTTGGTGTCTGGATGACCCTGGCTTAGAGAATCTCAGTGGTGAACAAAGAAAAAAGTAGGGAGATTTATAGGAGATTGGGAAAGGATCTGTCTTGTTTGTCACATATGGGGTTGGAGCAAATATTTATGGTCAGGGTCCATGTAGCAGTTGAGGCACATGTATGGATGTTATCAGGTAACTTAGCACTGGGAAGATTTTGTGCTATACTTTGTAGTTTTTTGTATTTTTTTTTTTTCTGTGATATTCTGTTCTGTTTGTTTGCTGGGAGACAGCACAGTCTGCTTCTGTTGTTTAGCCTCCTGAAGGAGCAGCATGTTTATGCTAAGAGCTGCGGTTTTATGTATCTGCTAAAACTAACTTGGAATTGAACAACACAATCATTAACCAGGTCATGGCCAGATCAAGCCTGACAGTTCTGTAATTTTGATGTCTAATTCTTTAAGGTATTCTCTGATAGCACTCTTGTTTCATTGAGTTTTATAACTTACATTTTGTAATCATGTTCTTTGGTTTCTTAATTATGGAAATCTCATAAGCTTAAGGATAAGCTGGTGTGCACTTGATCTGTCTAACTGAGTGACAGACACATGTGTTTCAGATGATTCAAGGACAGTCTCTCCCATCACCCTCACTTCTGAATGCAAGCTCCATAAAGTCAGGGGACTTTGTTCTGTCTGCTAAAGTCTCCCAAATTGTAAAACAGTGTATGACATAGAAGGGTCACCCGACATACACTTGTTGGCCTGATCTCATTGTCTTATTTTTCTGGTAGGTGGATTAATTTTGCCATTTTTTTCATTGTGAAGGAAGTGAGGGACAGTTGTAAAGTGTATCAGTGGTGGCTCCATGTGTTTTTCTTGTGAGTTATTGCCTATTTGTTCTAATCACATGACTTTTGAGTCAAGCTATATGAGAAAATAATTCTAGTCTTACGATAAATGATGCTTGTCTTGCAAGTTTTTATTTTAGAGACTTCATTTTTTTTGTCTGTCTGAGCCATCTTCAGTTTGTTTTTCACTAATTCTGAAGTTTCTCTTTTTTCAAGGATGAAGGGTTATTTTGTGTATTCTTTTCATTCTTTAGTTTTTTTGGTGAGCCAGGGATGGAACCCAGTCCTCATGAATGTCAGGCAAGTGCTGCTACAGTTCCAACCCTAAATACATTTTAAAAAAAATAAAAATACTCAGATTAAACTTTGAATATTAAAGACAAAAACAGTATACAAGCTGGATGTTGTTACCTAGTTACTCGGTAGGCTGAGACAGGAGGATTGAAGGTTAAAGGCCAATTTGGGCAACCTAACAAGATATTGTCTCAAAATAAAAAGTAAAAAGGCTGGGGATAAAGCTCAGTGGTAGAGGGCTTGCCTAGCACTGAAAAAAAAATCTCATTAATATATTGACCCTGTATGAAAGAAAGCCCACCATGTCTAGGGGAAGTATACCTTAATAATTATTTTCAATTTTTGTTGGAGACAGGATCTCACTATGTAGTTCAGGCTGGCCTTGAACTACTGTATAGGTCCAGGCTGACCTCAATCTTGTGGTGATCCTGCTAGAGGAGGATCCACTAGACTGCTGGGATTACAGGTGTGCACCACCATGCCCAGCTTATTTTTAATTTTAGTGTAATGTTCATTTACTTTAAAATGGAATTTAGGGGCCGGAGATTTAGCTCAGTGGTTCGGTGGCCTGCCTTGCAAGCACAAGGACCCAAGTTCAATCCCTGGTACCAAAAAAAAAAAAAAAAAAAAAAAGGAATTTAGATGTTAGTATATAATAGCTCTGAAGATTATCTTTTAAGAATATTAAAATTTCACTTTTTAATATCATAACATTACCTAATTTGGAAACTTTATTGTTTGTTTGTTTGGAGAAAGGGTCTCACTGTGTAGTTGAGGCTGGCCTTGAATTTGGAATGATCCTCGTGCCTCAGCCTCTCAAGTGCTAGGATTACAGACATGTGCTTTCATGCCTGGCTTATTATTTATTTTGAATGATGCAAATTAGATGGGACATGGATGTGAACAAAAGTGAAATTAATCAGCTAGGTGGTACACACCTGTAATCCTGGCACTCTTGGAGGCTGAGGCAGGAGGATCTAAATTTGAGCTGGGTCTGAGCACTTAGTGACTTAGCTAGACACTGTCTCAGAAATTTAGATAAGGGCTGGAGAGATGTAGCTCATTGTGAAGGCCCTGGATTCAGAGCCCAGTACTTGGCAGGAAGAGAATAAGGTTGCCAGTTTAAGTACATTGAAATAATAGTCCTGTGCCACTGTACTCAGCTGATAAAGAGCTTTGATCATTCTATTATTTATTTCTTTCTGTCAGTCTATCTCTGTGTCTGTCTGTCTGTCTGTCTATCTATCTTTTATCCTGGGAATTGAACCCAGGACCTTCTCATTGAGCTATATCCCCAGCTCTTTTTTTATATTTCATTTTGAGACAGGTTCTCACTAAGTTGCCCAGATGGGGCTCAAACTTGGGATATTCCTACCTTAGCCTCCCAGAGTGCTAGGGTTGTACCTTGGCTTCAGAAAATTTTTATTTTCTATATTTTTTTATTATCATTTGTGGTTGAATATGGAAGACTATGAACCAACCCTCAAACTTAATTTCATTTATTTTCCCTCCTCAACTTGATTTTAAGATCCTTAGTTCTGTTGTCAAAGATGTTTGCAGAAAACTGCTAGTGCACATCTGTAGTCCCAGCATTTAAGAGGCTAAGGTGAGAGGATCGCCATGAGTTTGAGGCCAGCCTGGGCTATATAGTGAGTTCAAGGCCAGCCTGGAATATATAGAGAGACCTGTCTCAAAAAAAAAAAAAAAAAAAAAAAAAATGTT